AGGTCAGGGGTACTATGGCCCAATGAGTATATTGACCTGTTCTGTCATCGTTGGTCAGAAGTAATATGGCCCAATGAATATATTGACCTGTTCTGTCATTGTTGGTCAGGTGTACTATGGCTCAATGAGTATATTGACCTGTTCTGTTATCGTTGGTCAGGGGTACTATGGCTCAATGAGTATATTGACCTGTTCTGTTATCGTTGGTCAGGGGTACTATGGCCCAATGAGTATATTGACCTGTTCTGTCATCGTTGATCAGGGGTACTATGGCCCAATGAGTATATTGACCTGTTCTGTCGTCGTTGGTCAGGTGTACTATGGCCCAATGTGTTTGTAACATTATCAGGGTTACTATGGCGATGACGTCAGGAGGAGACGACTTATATGAAAGATAAGTGACCTTTGTTTATGATACTTTATACTTTGTTCTCGGAATCGTAATCCCCATTCACGAAAACAATTACTTGTTCATATTTTCTTCAAATCAATTAATTAATTGAAGACGAAACACTTGACTGAAACGAAAACACACGTCGTTACTAAACACAAATATGGATAGGGCACAGATATAATATCATACTGCAAAAAAAAAAGTACGGTAGAAAAAATAAACCGCTATATGAGACTAAAGACGGAGTCCGATTGGTTTAAATAAAAACTGCGACATTCATTTTTCCCATGACCTATGTTGCGAGGAAGAACTGTACAGTGTAATATAAAGCCACGGAAAAAAAAAAGAACAAGTGGGTGTTGTTATTGATTAACTTTGAAGCGAGTATACATTGTTGTTGTTTACTATAATCATTTGTAAACATTGAACATTCAGTCAATTTATTTGCGGAGTACTAGTACTATAATTGTGGTGACGAACGGCGCGCGAGACGTCTCCTAATAAACAAGACCCGTGTGAGCTGCTGCTACGTCTGCCATTGACGCTGGATCTGATCAACAAGGACGTTACATACTTTCTTACTATCGAGCTTGTCGAGAACAATAAAACAATGCAGCTTCATTTACACCTATGAGCCTTTTAGCCTTTTAGGCAAAGTATAGAAGTGTTGAACAGGGCTTTTAAGGTTGGCGCCAACACAGACAAGTTAGATAGAAACCCATCAAGCAATGCTGGTTGTTCGATGAGCAATGCTCCCAATGACGTGACGAGTTCCTCGCTTGTCTCCCTAGAGACGATTAAAAAGCTGATTTAACTGGTTAATACGAGGCTACTTCAACAACTTTCGTATATTTAGCAGTCTGTGAATGTATCAACACATTTGCTAAATGATTCGTAAAAACCAAATGAGCAGTGTGATGCGACGATACAGGAGA